AGCGGGGTTGGCGAAAGCAGGCCGTGCGCGAAGGGGTCTCTCTCTCCCTCCCGCGCACGCGTCCCGCTTCTGTCCCAGTTACCATCTTCCCACCCCTGCTCCTGCAGCTCCTGGGCTAAACTTGCCAGGAGCTGGGCCAGGGCGATGTGGGACGCAGTTTCACCCCATGCTTCTGGGGGTGTCTGCATTGATCATTCGGATCCCATGCATACTCAGATCCACGCTTCTTCTTGTCCGTAAACCGGTTAGGACAATCACTGCACAGGTTACGCGGATCAGAATTTGGGTAAGAGCAACACGTCCGACAAGCAATGAGGAAACTCTCGCTTGTCTCAAAATCGGCAAAACCAACGTGTGACCGTGATTGTCAACGATTGGGGTCTTGAGAGGGGATTTGCCAGTGCACTTCTCGTTGAGCCTGGCTTCATTCCTCGCCTCAGAAATGGCCCTCGTTTTGGACAGATTGCAAGCCCATCTTCCTAGGCTCTACGTCCAATCGTGCATCAGACGAGCCCCTGGCACCGCGGGATGGCAGGGAGTGGGAGCCACAGGCTTGGAGCCAGGGACAGACGGACGCATCTCTGATTGGAGGGTTGTTAGAATTGTTAGGTTGGCCAATGCTTTGCCCCCAGGCATGGAGGCAACAGGAGGCCGCTTTGACCAGACCTGACAAGCAGGGGCAGGCTGCGTCAGCTCATTGGCCGCCAACTTCGCCCACCGATCAGCCTCGGCATATCCCGAGGCATGCCGACATTCTTCTGTGTGGGGCGCTAATTCGGATAGCTTTCGGTGCGATTTTTACTTTGATTAGGTCGATGTCCCGACTCCACTTAGAACATCCTTTGATTAGAAACTTCGGGTCCGAATAACAGTTTTTGAGAGCCAAGCATGGAACATGCAGCTTACATGTGCCAGTGTAGTCTGCAAACATGGCCGTGGTATTGCTTCCGAACTTGCCCGCAGATACGCTGCTGAAAAGGCGGAGGAGGAAGAGGAGGAGCAGGAGGAGGAGGAGGAGGAGGAGGAGGAGGAGGCCGGAAGGGTTGGCCATAGGGGTTGGCCAGAGGGATTGGCCGGGAGGGTTTGCCGGGGTTTCTGGAGGGTTGGTTGGGGTTGGCCAGAGGGTTGGCGCAGGTATCTTTTTGGTAAGTGTTCTGTGATTGCGTATAGTACTTGATGGAGGGCTACGAGTCATCGCGGGCCACGGGTATCAGGGTTGCACGTGTGGTGGACACGCTGCGAAGGCTCTTAGGTGTCGAGGCAGGCTGAGCAAGCGTCTTGCGCCCCGTCTTAGGCATTGGCCAACCGGCCCAGACGACGAACGACTCGAAGCCACTTGACGGTACTCCAGAAGGCTGCCGCGCCGTAGCCGTCTGGGGCTCTTCGGACTGCATGGAGTCGAACAGAGTGGCAGGCTCCAAGCTCCCCCCCAACGATCATCCCCAACAAACGAAAGCGGCAGGTGGTCTCGAAGCGGATTCGAGATGCGTGTCGCGCCGGCTCTCACAGTCGACGCTGCGAGAGGTCACGCAAGCTGCTCGACTGCCAGGATCTCAGAGGAGCACGAGGGGGAAGGGGAGCAAAAGGAGAATGAGAAAAAGGAGATGGAGGATTAGGATGATGAAGATAATGGGGAGCAGGAGGAGAACGGGGAAGAGGAGGAGGAGGAGGAGGAGGAGGAGGAAAAGGAGGAGGAGGAGGCGCAGGATGGGGCAGAGGAGGGGGGGAGGAGGAGGGGGAGGTGGAAGAGGAGGATCATTATAAACCCAGGATGCTTCAACGATGCCGCATTACGCCCTCACGTCCCACCCCCGCGTTCTACCAAGTAGGTTTTGATACACATTGTTCATAGCAGCAAGCACCCCCTCTATAAAAGCGAGCATTTTATGGGCCGCCCATTCAGGCGAGAGCCCGGTTTGAAAAGAACAACCTTCATTTTCTTCTAGCGAGTGATGAGCGGCGCGATAAGCAGGGCCATCCTGTTAACAGGGTTTCCAGCGAGAGCTCCGTTTTGAAAAGGAACCGTCCCCGGTCCGTGTAACCTTTGCAAAAGCACGTTCGCCCAGAGCCTGGTCTTGGAAAGCAGCCGTCCTGAATCCGCGCAGCTGTTACATCTCTTTCAATTTCTAGCCCTTACACTTGACGTCTCAAGCGAACGACCAATTTCGAGAATGATTCGACCTCCATCCTCATAGCTGTTGCAAGGTTTTAAAGTGAATGTGAGCTTCACGAGGGCGAGAACCCGATTTCGAGAAAGGACCCCTCTCCATCGTTGGTACTCCTGCAAGGTTCAAGACGGACGTGCGCGGCGCTGAGGCGAGAGACTTCTGTTGAAAACGAACCAGCCTCCCCTCCGAAGCTGTTGCAGATTTGTAAGAGGGGTGTGTACAGTCGGGGCCCTGAATAAGGAACCCTTTTCGTTGGGGAGGGGCTCCGTGTTCCTTAATTGTTTCGCAGCTTGCCTTAGGTTTTCCTTAGGTTTTCGATATGAAATCGAAGT